ATTTTGAAAATGTCTTTAAAAATGCAGATCTATCTATGAACTATGATCGATTGACGTCATGGACAATTTTAAATAGCGATTTTTCAACAAAAAAAACAACTACAGTTATCAAATAATATTTGATAACTGTAGTTTTTTTTTTTTTGAAATATATTTGAAATATCAATTAAAAATTACAAATTAAAAAATTAAAAATTAAAAATTACAAATTACAAATTAAAAATAATATATTTGAAATATCAATTAAAAATTACAAATTAAAAAAGCTACAACTACAAATATCAATTTAAAATTATTTTTTTTAATAATGTATTCATGATTAACTTTTATTTTAGTCTCAAACTTACAACACACAAAGAATTTAACTTTTTATGAAATACCCATCTAGTCAAAGAAAAATCCTTACAAAAAATTTACAAAAACAAAAAAGGAAAGTGCAATTCCTGAAAAAAAAATTTGTTATAAAAACCAAGTCTATTCTAACTCCGTGGATGTTCGTAAGTCTACTTAAATCCTCAAAAACTAAACAAAAATTGTATGATAAATTTCTAAAAAAGAAAACATATAAAAATAAGAAAATATACAAAAATTATAAAAATCTATTTGAAAAAAACAAAAAAATACTTCAAAAAAAATTATTACACAAAATTAGAAAAAACAAACGAAAATACTTTTAAAATGTGGCATGTTATTAATGAAATAGTTGGAAAGAACTTAAGTATAAAAAGTGTTCTATCAAAAAAACTTTTGATAAAAGGAAAATAAGGTCATGAAAAATCTTCTATTTCTGAGAAACTTGTCCGCTTCTTTGTTAACATAGAGCCAAATTAAGCTAAGACAATTCCGCTGAGCTCATCAAGTTTTAATTCTTATTTAAACGATTCAGTACTCAAATAAACGAAACTTTAAAATTTACGAGTTGCGAGATTTAACAGCCTTTAAATAAATAAAAACACAAGTTTTGATAAAGTTAGTGTCAATGTTGACAAATCTTAAAATTTGCAAATGCGAGATGTTTTTAACAGCCTTTAAAAAAATAAAAGCTCAGATTTTGATAAAATTAGCGTCAATGTTCTAAAATCTGTGTTTGATGTCATTGAACCATCGTTATTTCATATCTTGAAATTTTTTTAAAAAATCGAGTATTGTTACTGGTAATTCAAAAATTGCCCGAATTTTTGAACGAGGAGATTTATTTCAAACTATAAACCTAAACGAGACTTCGTTATTTTAAACTATAAACCAATTTCTATCTTGCCTAGTTCTCTAAAATACTTGAACGCATAATGTACAATAACTTTATGACTCTCTAACAAAGAACGATACACTGTATAAAAATCAATTCAGTTTCAAAAAAATCCACTTAACTGAACCCGCTGTTATCGAGTTAGTCAACGAGATATTTAAATCATATTTTAGTGAAATCTGTCGTAACTAATAAACAAGATTCTCGAAAAACAACTTTGTTGTTTCAAAATATAGTTTGAAATTGAGCTCATACTCAATTAAGCATCCTGGCCCATATCTATGAAAAATATTCTCAGACATAGCTAATAAAAAGATCTATTTAAAGATTTTTTTGTTAGCTATGTCTGAGAATATCTATGTCTGAGAATATAGATCTATTTAAAAAGGAATCCAAATGGTTCTCTTTATTTATGGATTACATTTATGGGTTAAATGTTTCTTTTAAATAAAGTTGAACTCAAATAAAAAATTAAGATAAATTGGTAGAAAAGTTTATTATCAAAAGCCATATAGCAAAGTTTAATAATATTACCTCATTCTCAGAATGGTATGAGAAATGTGTATCATTTATTTGTTTTTTGATTTTTTATGTATTAAAACTTGTATTAAACAATACGATACATTATCTTACGTTATATATTATACTTACATAATATATTTACGTCGTTATAATAAAATATTTGTAAATTACGATTTTACAAAATTGATTGTGCCAATAAAATTTGAATTTAACTTTAAAAGGTTCGAAATTGTTAAGGTAGAAGATAGTATTATTTTCTTAGGATATTACAGCTCTTTAGCTAGCAAGGATCCTCAGGATTCGTATCTTTCTATTTTAATAACTTAAAATAATTTTTCAAAAGAAGACAATGAAACATTAATTTAAAAGATTTTAATAGCAGTTACAAATATAAACATTTTTAACTAACCAAAGGTAATTTCAAGTAAAAGTTCGTTTGTTCATGTTTGCTTTTCTGCATTTATTTAAACTTTTGACATAAAAAAGAGAAAATTGGAGACCATAAAAAGAAGTCTCTTAACTACAAGAAAATTATATCGTTAGCGGAATACAAAATACTTATTTTTTACTCTGTGTGTTAAGGCGGTTCAAATTATTCGAATTCTTTTATTTGAAACTAGCATGGTTTTGTCAGCATTTAATGTCCAAACAAGAGTTTTGGATGTTATAATTTTTTTTACTTTAGATTTTTACAATGTTTAAAGAAACTTCTCTTCTTTTTATATAACTTTTAAAACCTTTTTTACTATCCCTAATAGTAAAATTGAAGAACACAATTTTTGAGTCTTCAGATCAATTTTGCTCAACAATGTTAATTTGATTTTACTGAAAATCTTTTGAAAAAGTGCGAACTACTTCGTGGTCAGCAAAGTATCTTACAAACGCTGTAGTATTTTAAAATCGCTTTAACTATACTTAGTATGCAAGTTTTCATTTATCATATACATTTCTATATACAATTTATGACTTCCTCAATCGATAAGGAAAACACGAATCGGTCTAAAATTTTTTTGAATGTGCCCAATACATACATTTAATAAATTTTGAATGTGCCCAATACAATACATTTTGCTTTTTTAATCTCTATATCTTTGTATGAAAATAAAACTGATAACGCAGAATACAATGAGGTATCACGATCATCCAAAATAACTTGTACATTGCAAGTTATATTGTTCGACAGAGCGACGGAAATTGGTAATTGCATCTGCACCTTCCATAGCACCAAATGATCGTTGATGATTAGCAAGGTATTTATGGTTGGCTTTCCAATTCTTATATATATTTTTTAATTTTTCCGAAGAACACATCCTTCACAATGATTTGAAAACACAACAGCATTTATGCATTTGCCTGTTAAAGTAGTAAATGCTGTAACACCACCATCAAATGATGAGTGACATCATTTTTACTACATTCCGTCAACTGAATTTTGATATTAAATTTTTAATTATGCAAAGCAATCTCTTTGGTTTCTAAAGCTGCTCTGTTAGTAACCTGTTGAGCTACAGTTTCATAAACATCGTATTGTTTTTTGTTAATTTTATAATATGCATTGTAGATAATCGAAGGAATGTTCATAAGGTTGTGGTATAGTTTCATTGGTTTATAACCTTTACCTATTTCTCTATATGCTAAAACAGATGGAACATTTATTCCATTGCTATTTCTTCCAACAGAACATTTCTATATCTTCTTACAGAATTATCGGATAGTTTTAAAATAGGAAGTTTTGAAATGATGTCATAAGAAGTGAAATAGGAAGTTTTAAAATGATGTCATTAGAAGTAAAATAGGAAGTTTTGAAATGATGCCATTAGAAGTTAAAGAGTCAAAGGAACCAAAGTTCGAAGATCAAACAAAATTCTTTTATTAGAACAATTTTGTGTGAAAATTGTAGAGAAGCAATTCGGACATATCATAACTTCAAGAATAATTAAATGAAATAACTGGAAATTTATAATAAAGTTGGAATTATTATAAACAAGTTCTGGATTTTTCTTTGCACTAATTTCTTTTGGACTGACTATTGTTGTACAAGAATTTGGCTCTTGTGGTATAATTGTGCTTTGGCATTGCACTTCTTGTGCTTTGTCGAAAATTTTTTTATTACTTCTGGCATAGGATCTGCCCATCTGTAGGCTAATAATTTAAAGAATCTAAGTCTTTTAAGCAAAACAAATATTTTTAAAATCCAGACTATTAACTATTCAACACATTAAGCAGCATTTAGCGAGTTTCTTTTGATTTTATTTTGAGAAAGTAATAGTGCAAAACCACTAAAAAACCAACCATGTGCGAGCTTATGACTTAACAATTAAGGAACTAACTAGAAATTATGATGTACCACCTTAACGGAAAAAAACGTAACACAAAATCGAATCAAATACTTATGATTTTCTAATGAATCTTAATTTACCAAATTAATAAACCTTATATTTGGTTTTTCAAAAAACTGATTTAAGTTTTTTGAAAAACGCAATATTTAGGATTTTCGAAAAACCAAGTTAATATGGTTTTTCGAAAAACCGAAATAAGTTTCAATTTGGCTTCAGTTTGAAAAGTTGATTAAGGTTTTTCGGCGCATCTTTTTATTTTACAGTTTAGTATTAAAAAAGTTCACATCCAAAACAGAGTTTTACTATCTTCTACCTTATAATTCATGAAAATATTGATTCTGAAGATGAAGAATATATAGACTTCTTTTTGATTTAAAGTTTGTATTTTTTTTCTTAGTGTTTCTTTTGCTGCACTTGAACTAAAACAATTTATATAATTAACAATCACAAGATATTGAAATATAGTCAAGATGTTAGGAAAAAAATTAAGAATAAATATAAATAATAAAATTGTTTTTACAATGTATTTACCCATATATTATAATTATATATATATATATATATATATATATATATATATATATATATATATATATATATATATATATATATATATACATATATATATATATATATATATATATATATATATATATATATATATATATATATATATATATATATATATATATATATATATATATATATATATATATATATATATATATATATATATATATATATATATATATATATATATATATATATATATATATATATATATATATAGTTAATAAAGTATTTCAAATTTGGAGAAGTTCTCAAAAATATTAAATTGAGGCTAAAACTTTAAACTCCACACTGTTCGGTAAATAGTAATAAAATATTTGGAGTCTATAACTATATACTATAACTATATTTTGTAATTTAATTACTAAATTGTTTATTTACAGATAAAGAAAATAACCCATTAAATTTATAAATAAGAAGCAAGTTTTTGATTTCAATTAAATTCGTCTGGTTTACAGCTTATCTTGATCAAAAATCTTCATCATCTTCACCTAACAGCTCATCCATCCAAATGATCAATTGTAATCTTCATCATCTTCACCTAACAGCTCATCCATCCAAATGATCAATTGTAATCTTCATCATCTTCACCTAACAGCTCATCCATCCAAATTCCTAATTCATCTAAAGCCTGAATATCTGCCGGATGAAGAACAAGGTCTAAAGTTCGAAAATTTTGTGCTATATGATTTGGGGTGGCCGAGCTAAAAAGACAATTTAAAGGAAGAAAAAATGTTTTTTTCCATAATAATAATGCGTGCTAAAAAACTAACTCAAAGAACAATTATATAAAACATACCGTGGAATAACGGTAACATTATTATGAATAGCCCATCGCAAAACAACGTGTGTGGGAACATAGTCATAATGAGCTGAGACGGATGATATTATGTCACTTTCTAAAACAGGATTGTAGTCCAAAATATTTGCAAACTGCCACCGAGAACCTAAATTCAGAAACTTCATAGAAATATGACAAAATATTTTAAAATTAATTTAAAACATTTAAAAAAAAAAAATTTTAATAAATAGAATATTAAATAAATATAACAAATAGAATGTGTAATACCCAAAGTTGAGTATCCCATATAACGAATATTATGTTGAGCGCATAGTTTTCGCAAAGGTCTATCTGTATGAAAAGGGTCGAACCAATTCTGAACAACGGAGACAGGTTCAACAGCCCAATCAATCAGCTCGCTGAGCATAGTAGTATTAAAATTTGATACACCTATGTCTCGCAACTTCCCTTCTCTTTTTGCTTGCTCCATTGCGCGCCAGGTTTCTTTCCAAGTGCCATTTGGTTCTTCAAAAATCAACCGATTAAAGTTTTGTAATGTTTATACTGATAATTTAATAACAAGAAACATAAAAGCTAAAAGTAGAAATAAAAAAATAAAAATAATTTATACCTTTAGAGCATTTTAAGAAAAGGTCATCACAAACTACTGAATGAATAAGATACAGGTTTATGTAACTTGTATTCAAATTTTTTAAGGAAAGTTCAATAGCATGTAATGTTTCATTATATCCAAGAAACATTGGGTGTAACTTAGTAACCACAAAAACCTTATCTCGTGATACACTACTTTCTGAAATGGCGTTTGCAAATCCAACTTCTGATCCAGGGTAGCCATAAGCAAGATCAAATAACCTATGATAAAACTAAATACTGTTAAAATCAAGAATTCAACCTGTGCAAAACACTATAAGGTTATGTATTAATAAATATAATTGAATATACCTATATCCAACTTCTAATGCATACTTTATTGCATCTTTTGTTTTATCTTCCAGAAAAGCTGTTCCTAAACCTAAGACTGGCACTAAAATAAAATATTTTGGTTTTTTATAATTTCATTAATCTTAAATTTCTATAATTTCATTAATCTAAATTTTATGCGTTTTTAGGCGGTGAAATCATACTAAATATCAATTTCTTGTTGTTACTCACAGTTCTCTCAATATATGACACTCGAGTATAAATTTTGAAATGGGGATAATTTAGTATATAAAAAATAAAAATTCATAGCTCTATAAAATTACAAATTTTTTAGAAATAGATTAAAATAATTTTTAACATTTCTTAATATTAAAATAGAAATTTGTAGATCGTACAACAAGAAATTTGTAGATCGTACAACATTTTTGTTACTATTTTTTGGAATCAGCACACCAAAGAACACAGAAAACCAATATGTCAAACACATCAATCAGAACACCAAATAACACAAGAATTAGGTAAACTGTTTGAACAAAATTTTTTTTATTATTGGCCTGTGTAATTAACAATAAAACTTTTAATTACAAAATAATTAATTTTACTTTTATTTCCTGTTACAAGAGTTATATCTTCAGGTCGTTCATTTTTTTTTGGTATTCTTAAATTCAAAACAGCTAAATCATCATTGAAATCTATTTCAAGAATGTCTTTAAAAGAAATCTTAGTGTTGTTACATGATAGATGCTTCGACTGTTTCGATAAAAACTCCTTATAATGGATCAAAGCCTAAAGAATAGAATGTATTGTTTATATTTCTACTACAAAAATATTTGATAAAAAATGATAAATTCAAACAATAGAGATACTAAAAGATTATGCAAAAAAAAAAAATCTATTTAAAAAATCAGGTTTTACTTTAAACAATTCAGGTGGAATTATAATTTAATTATCAAAATATCAATTATAACCCAAAATATTTCTTTTATCAAAAAAATTTTTAAATAATTTTGTCAAAATTGATGTTTTGATTATTTATATTAGAAAAATATCTTTTGAAAAAAAGAAGTTTATAATAGTTAACATTATTTATTATAGTTTTAAAGAACAGAAATAGAGATAACAAAGTAGCGTTCTTGACTGAAGTGGTCCCATCTGGAGTCTTGGGGAGATAAATTTAATAAAAAAAAGTAATTATAAAAAAAGTAAAACTAATACTTTATATTATAACTATTTTGAAATTAAAAAAAAGCAACCAAACTTACTTGGGTAAAGTCGCTAGAAAAATCTTGCTCAAAAAAATCGACTTGAATATTTATATAACTTGCTAAATCTTTAGGAGATACATAATACCACTTATGTACAGGAACATACAATATATCACCTAAACAAGTTAAAGACCATTGAAACATAAAAAAACCTCAAAAAAATTCTTTATAAAATATGACACAATTTAGCCTAAATTTTTTAATTTTTTTATTACATATTTTTTTACCTGGAAAAATAGTCAGCATTGAAAAAGAAATATTGAGTAAACTTAGATCATTATGCATCATATCCCAAGATTTGAATAATTTCATGTTTTTCACGTTGGCGTTGGAATCATACACATCAAAAATAATTACAGATAAATTTGAAAAAAGTGGAGCTATGAAATTTTCAACTGTGCTTAAGGTGATTTTGGCTTTTCTACTCTCACGAATATGAAGCTTGACACCAGTAATCTCTAAAAAATGAAAAATTTAAGAATAGACCATCGAACTACTCCAGCATTTTAACTGTTTGAATATCAAATAAAAACATGAGAATATATTTGAATACTCATACATTTTATCAAAAATAATAAAATGCATTAACAATAAATAAAAAAAGTGTTGAATAATTAATTTAGAGTGGTTCTACTATTCTTTTAAATAATTTATTTTTTAAAAAAATATATTTTTAAAATAGAAAAGAATTAAGTTTTATTTTAAATTAAACTATCTAAAAGAATTAAAAAATTTAAACTTATTCTTCTTTTTGTTTAAATTAGACCTGCTGTTGAGAGAAGAAGCTGTTGAGAAAGCTGTTAAGAGAACTGTTAACAATCTCAACTGCTTCTGAGAGAAGCAGTTGAGATTGTTATTAATGCATGATACAAAACATCCAAGGTTTTCGACTGTTTTTTAAAAAATTGACGAAATTCTTTAACTATGTTACATTATTCATTTATGATTATCAAAATTTAAATTATTAAAAATTACAAACATTTATAAGCAACTTGAATGTCCAAGTGTTTCTTCACTTTTTAATGTAGAGAAACGAAAATTTATTTTTATTTAGCGTTGATAATTTTTATATAGCGTTTATAATTTTATTTTTGTATTTTAGTTTGCTTTTTTTAATTTAATAATAATACATTTTAATAATAATACATTCTTAATAATTCTGATACTTACATTATATTTTTTTAAATTTAATAATAATACTTTTTAATAATAATACATTCTTAATAATTCTGATACTTACATTATATTTTTTTAAATTTAATAATAATACTTTTTAATAATAATACATTCTTAATAATTCTGATACTTACATTATATTTTGCTATTAGACTTACCATGTCTTTTAATTTTAAAATATATTTGAAATATATATAAGAATAACAAACAGTCAAAAAAAAAAAATGCAAATACATTTAAATATCAAGTAATCGATTACTCAAACTGGATCCTCTATTTATGAATATTTGACAACAATAGATCGTTTTTTTTCCAAGAGATCACCAGAATGAACACCACAATAAATTTTGGAAAAATTAAATATTGACATCTAAAGCTTAAAGACAAGAGAACTTATAACTTCCTTGAAATTATTATAAAAAAATCATATTTCTTTTAATGTCATCAGAAAAATTTATAAATTAACTCTCAATACTTGAAGTATACAGAGGTTTTTGCAGTTAAACTTGCCTCATCCATAATTTCCTGTGTAAATAGGATGTTATTATTTTCTTTTTATTTTCATACTCAAAACTATTAAACTCTGAAGCCTTCAAATCTTGTTTATTTTAATTTTTTTGTTAATTTTAAATTTACTCTAAGGTCTTAAATTTTTGTTTAAAATACGTCAAGAATCACACATCATTTTGTTTTGTTAACAAACAAACATTCTAAAATAACTTAATACAGGAGTTTATTTAAAACATACTTTTGTCATATTTATTGCCCCCTGATTACCCCCCCCCCCCCAATAAAAAGCAAATCTACTCAAAGGCATAGTCTATAAGAATTAAATTGGGCCAATAGAACAAAAGTATGATGACTTGTAGACAATAGATAAATTTTATTGAGATCTTTTGAGTTTATCAAGCTGCTTATTAACAGGGATACATTCTATGATCAAAAAGATTTAATCTATGGTCAAAAATTAAAATTTCACGTTTTTCTGCAGGATATAACATAAAATCATTATGATGTTTAAGTGTTTATATAGGATATTAAAAATTTTAGATAAAATAAATTTTCCCACCATCAATGTGTGTTCTGTTTAAAAGTTATTTAAAACACTAAATAAACAAAATATTAAACAAATAATCAGTAACAAGTGTTTTATATAGTTTGAAATTTTTTGATTGTATAATCAATATTGATAGTTTATTACATAATGAAGCATCAGTTGAACAAAATGACTTCTTTGCAAAAGCTAGTTTCAAACAAATTCTTAAAGATACTTGGTTTTCTAGTGCAGTTATTATGTTGTAGTAATTTAAAGAAATTCTGGAAATTATAGCATATGCCACTATTTCTTTTTATTTGTATTTTTTATTTTATTTGTAAAAAGTTAAAATATAAGAAACTTACTTTGTATAAACTCATTACAATGTAAAACTAATGGTAGATGAACATCATAAATATAAGAAACTTACTTTGTATAAACTCATTACAGTGTAAAACTAATGGTAGATGAACATCATAAATATAAGAAACTTACTTTGTATAAACTCATTACAGTGTAAAACTAATGGTAGATGAACATCATAAAGGATGGTACTCTCTTTTGGAAGAAAACCTACAAATTCTTCATTTTCAAATAAAACATTTTCAAATGTTAAAATGTCACCATTAAGTGATTTAATAAACAATTTATCAAATTTCTCTTTTATGTATGATCTGTTATTCCAATTACGAATGGAATCCCAATCTTTTGATGCACCTAAAAAAAAAAGATTAAAAATTTAATTTTTAGTTTTGAAAAAAAAAAAAAAATCTCATAAAAATAAAGGAAAAAAAAGAACCTCTTATTATTACAGGACGATTTTGCACCAGATAATTTGTATAAAAATAGGATCCGCCAGGAGAGAGTTGTAACTCATCAACATTTAAATGTTTGTTGTTATTCAAAGGAATTTCTTTGTTATGTATAAAGAAAAAAAAGTTTATTTTTAAATACAGTAAAAGATTAGCATGAATGATTTCATATTTTCTTCAACAATCATTAAATATAATACCATTTTAAATATTAATTAATAAGTAAAACATTGTAGCCAAAATCATAATTACAAAATACAGCTTAATCAAATATATAAAGTATTTGTAGAGCTGCTTTATTTCAAAAACGATTTATGTGTATTACAGCAAGTAGTCAGCATATAGAGTCTAAGATCGTGTCACTTTAGATGTAAGATCGTGTCACTTTAGATGTAAGATCATGTCACTTTAGATGTAAGATTGTGTCACTTTAGATGTAAGATTGTGTCACTTTAGATGTAAGATCGTGTCAGAAAGATTATTATCATAGATAAGAATTAACACAGGAGCAGGAGTACTCCTAAAGATCCTTTCAGTACTCCTAAAGTTACTGAAAATGAAGAAGAGTGTTGGTCTTTAAGAATGACTTTTGGTACTGCGATTAGAAAGAAACTATCTAATAATTTTAAAACTTTTGTATGAAGAAACTAATGTTAAAGAAAAAACTAATAGTAGGATAGTTGGAGAGGTCAGAGTGTTTAAATATACGATTTTAAATATTGGAACCACTTATTTATACACTTATTTAGCACTTAAGTTTAGAGATTGAAGAGAATTTGTAAAACTATGATGAAAATGTACCGCATTATGTAGGGAGTGCATTACATATAGTGTAAAAAAGCTTCAATAAAGTATAAAAATGCTTAAGATTTTTTTAATTATAGAAACAGCATAAAAGGGGAAAACTTGATGATGATGATGATGATGATGATCATGTAGATCATAATGATTTTTATATGTAAATATACATGCTTATATAAAATATATTTTATATTTAAAAAAAAAAACTTCAGGATGTCTCAATGTTTATGCAGTCCCGGTCACAAACCTGACCCCAGCTATTTTTTATCAAATCCGGTTCAGCCCCAGTTAAATTTCAACCGCAGTCACTTACTATCTGTAACCGGTTTCCTGAGAAAACTATCATTTATAATTAATATGGTGAACAATACAAAAGAGTCTTCACCAATAAAATCAGTCAAATCACTCACAGCCATTTTTAAAAGCATTGGAACTTTTTCTTTTTGAAGTTATTTTATTTGTTGTCACAATTTTTCAGCAATAGCATTTTATTTGCAATCTTTTGCCTTTTTTCTCTAAGTTGTTATTAAAGAGATATAGTGGAGCCGCTTCCACAGTGTGGCACCATGTGTGAGTGCTAAAAGCTTTCAGAGCCGCATTAGAAATAGTTCAATCAATAGTTTTATACTCTAGTAATGAATTAATAAGAATTTAATTGTTAGTAGGAACTGCTGAAGATATAGGTGCACTTAGCCACCATGGAATATTACAAAATACAACAAACTGAACAATCTTTTGTAGCTTAGTAAGTTGCAGTAGTAGCTTACTGATTTTCTTGTTCATCAGTTTTATCTATGAAATTCAGAGAAAACCACATTTTACCCATTACTTAGATACAACAATGTATTAAAATAATTAAGTTTTTATAATCATCTTTGTTGAAATTTTGATTCAATGCTTCTTGGCAAATATTGATAATGAGGTTGTTTTTGTTTATCAAAATGTGAAACTTGAGGGATGTCAAGGTTTTCAATAGTTTGGCAAATCAGATGCTGAAAGTTTTTAATAAATCTAAAAACCAAACAATGCAGCAATCTATACTAGGAGGCTAACGTGTGCAGTTTTCCATCTAACTTGTCCACACAAAAGTTTTTTATTTAGACAACTTGGTCACGACTGCTTGGAAGTTTTATTATATTAGGCGTTTCAATAGTTTGAAACAAAAACAAAGAAAGCAAAACTAACAATAGAAAATCAAAAAAAAATTTGAATAGAAAAAAATTAATCATTTAAATAATTTGTCTACTGTTTTTATTTTTGTTTTTTTAAGAATGGTTGTTATTAAATTTATAGGGTGTTAACCAGGAATAAATTTGATACAGCAATTTGACGAAATTGGGAATTTGTCAAACAATTTCCCAATCATTTGCCCCCTCCCCTGAGATTAAAATGTGTTACAGGGATGTATGGGGTCTTTTTCTTATTTTCTTTCTTCTTCTATTCCACTTCAGCGCTGCATACCTTGACTGGACGACAAAAATAAAATAAAATACCATCTGTAACATTTATTGAAGATGAATATAAAATCAACACAAAATTTAAAGTGTTTCACAACGAAATGGCATAGTAAGCCCCGATTTCCAAAGACATATTAAATATTATACAATTTTATATTATAAAATAATCAGTATATATTTATTACCCAGCCAACATTGTGATGCGGGTGCTGTGTGGGACCCGTACGGGGTGTCAAATAGGAACCATACAGGATTTAGCTGCGGGATCTATATGGGTACCATACAGGCCAAATTTTTAAAAAATGAAAAATTTATTGGCTGCTTTTTCTTTTTTCCTCTATTGACCCTATAATTTTCCCAGATACATTTTTTTATTTTTTAGGTATAACTTAGATTTTTTATACTTAAATTAACATCAATTTGTTTAAAGCCAATTTTTTAATTTTAAACAAATTAAATGACTAATTTAATTATGATAATTTTTTATAAAAGTTTAAAAAGCTAAATGTTTTATTTGCAAATTAAAAACACAAGGGCATATACATGCATGTTTTATTAAATAAAATAAATTGTCATTGCATATGTAATCAATATATAACTACTAAATCAAGAAGATATACTTACTAAATCAAATCATAATATTTTATAGTAATATGTTGAGACTACCTAATGCCATACTTTTTGAAAAAGTATATTGCAAAAAAAGTTTACTCTTGTAACATTTCTTTTACAGTTTATTTCAACTAACGTATGTTTACATGCTGGATAAAATAACTATAAAACAAAATTTATCAAAAAAACTTCTTGAAGAAGCACTTTCTGCTTGGTTTGGTAATGCTCAAGATAAAGGCAAAGACAGCCAAAAAACGAATTTCAAATACAGCATCAAACATATAAAAGAACATATAGAATGTATATAATGCAGCAACAAACATGTAACATAAAGAATACAGCAGCAAACATTTGTATATATATATTGATTACATATGTAATAACAGTTAATTTTATTTAATAAAACATACATGTATATGTCCTTCTGTTTTCAATTTGCATTTAAAACATTTAGCTTTTAATACTTTTATATATAATTATCATAATTAAATTAACCATTTAATTTGCAGGGTCCCACATGGCACCTGCATCACAATGCTGGTTGGTTAATTATTATTAAAAATAATTATTTTGATTTATTTGTAATCTTAATATAACGTTGCTTATTCATTTTAAGATTATTCTTTTGAATATATTTTACTTTTTTACTGCTGGGCCATTAAGGGTAATTTTTAAAGTAATATAGTGATTTATGTTCAATGAAAATCTCTGCGGAAGAAAGCCAATGATCTTCTACTTCTAATTATAATATAAATTCTGATTGATGTCCTTTTTGGACAAACCTGGACACCATCGTGTAATAAATTGTACCACCAAAACAAATGCTTTATAAATAGAAAAATAAAAAAGGTTTTCAAAGTAGTAAACATGAGCTCGTAAATTTCATATTTCACATTTATTGTGAGTTCAATTTTTTAAAATAATATTAATTTTCTCTATACATAAATCACATTGCAAAATAAAGTTACAAAGTCTGAGCAAAAACACCAACAAATGTCATCTAATTACAAAAGAATATTGATCGCAAATTTTTTAATGATAAAATGTTATTAAGACTATGATTTATTCAAATATTTAAATTTGCTTTTACTAATTAAGCAAGCAGTGAGTTTTCTTGTTTTTTAAATTTCTAGTACCAGTTTGTTGTAATAAAAAAAGTATGCTTGTTATTAAACGTATTTAATTTACGTTTTAAATAAAAGTAGAAATCTATTTAAGAATTCTAATCTAAGTAGAGTTTGCAGTAAGAATAAATAAATAGTTGATAAATAAATAAAAAGTTAAAGTTAAACAATGAAAGTTAAACAATAAGTTATTTAACTTTTCAGCAAAAAAGGGCGAAACTTGAAAAGAAATAGCATTTGCAGGTGTTAAACCAAACAAATGTGTAATCTTTTTAGATTGTACTATATTTCTTGCTAACTTGTTTATATAATAGTTGCTGTTGTTTCCTATGTTATTTTTCTATTAATTTTTAATAATAATTAATTTACAATAAGTTTTAGAACTTTTATTTAACTTTGATTTGGGGAACTTTATTTGGAGAATGGGATTTTTTCACCTTTAAATAACGAATTTTAATTTTATAAGCATTTGGGAATACCGCATTTGACGGGGCACCATAGGGCTAGTTTACACCCTGATTTAGTATTTTAAAAGATTTTTTTTGCGATACATATACTTGTTACATTAACATTTATCATTCGCAACCAGACTCGATAACCAGTTACTACAGTGGAACACATTTTTTTTTTGTTTTTGTTTTTGTTATTCACCTCCTCAAGGTCAAGAAGGCCACTACAGACGAGGAGGCTATTTAATAGTGGTTATAACCCTCTTTCAACTCTATAACTCCGAAACACGAAGCTTGACAAACAAGGCCGCTGCGCGGAGAAACAAGTTGAGCGCTGTACTACCAGGGACATGGTGGGGATTGAACTTGAAACCTATCGCTTATGAAGCGAGTGTTTTACCACTACATCACTACCGCATTACACCACTACACCACTACCGCTACACCACGAGTGTTTTACCACTACACCACACCGCTACCACATACAACCATAGGAGCCTCAGGGAAGGAGAAAAGATTATATTAAAGTAAGAGTTAACTGATGTTGGACAGACATCCAACATCATATAATAAATATAATATAAAAGCAAGAAATTCAAACAAAAATTTATTATTAATAATCGTGTACATATATTTCACCAATAACATAGTAGACCAA